TTGTGTACACATTTCTGCATACCTCTGAAGTGCTTTCTAATAGAGCCTGTGAGTAGAATACCTAGTATTTTAACCAATTTTCTAGGTTTGGCTGACAGAATTAGGGCTTGTATTCAGTACAGCTCAAACAGTAGAAATCTGGTTTTAACGTGGTGAACACTGAAATTCAGTTATCAATAATCCTGTTGATGCTGGATTTATATACCTAAGAAGAGCTAGTTCAGTGACAGAGTGTTCATCCAGGGGTTGAAGATCATCTGCTGCCCTCCCATTACATCTCTCAAAGCCATAGTATGTCCTGTCTCCACAGAATGGAAAAGTCAGTCAGGAATGCCACAATTGGGTCTTCTGAAAGAAACTCGTGCTCAGCATTTCACTTTTACATTTCTTTGATTAAACCTTTGTTAGTATCTTCTTTATTTTTTGCTAATAAAATCGATTCTGTCTTGGAAAACATTGGCTAGGCTCCTGCACACTAAAACCTCTTAATGTAGGACACAACAGTTTTCCTGTGATATTGCAGGAATCCCAAAGACTTGGAGTCCGAGAGCTGTTGACAAGAGCTGAAAATGCAGAACCGTGAGAATTCATCTTAGCCTCATCCTCCAGCTACAAAAGTGAGAGTGATCAGAGGAGAAGAATTGCCTTTCTTTTACTGTTTCTGTACTCCATGTGTCATTGCAATAAAAGAAAAATTAAGGTGATTTTATTCTGTGCTTAAGGTTTTCTCTCCTGACCCCTTCACAGATGGGAGATTGGGAAATGGAGCACCTGCAGTCTTACCTGTGGGGTTGGTTTACAGACACGAGATGTCTTCTGTTCTCATCTACTATCAAGAGAGACTAATGAGACTGTGATTTTGGCAGATGAATTGTGCTCTAAACCTAAGCCATCCCTTGTGCAAGCCTGTAATCGCTTTGACTGCCCACCCTCCTGGTATCCTACAGAATGGCAAGAGGTAAGAATGTATGTGTAATCTCATTTTGTGACTGCTAAAAGTAGTCATTACACACATATCAGTGATCAGAGGTTGAAGCACCTCTCATGTGAAGTCAGGCTGGAGACCTGGAGTAGGGAGGGCTCCAGGAAGACCTTATAGCAGCCTTACAGTACATGAAGGATGCCTGTAGTTTCTGGGGTCCTCTTTCCTGCCCTTCTTGAAAATCTTGAACAACATTCTCCAGCTTCTGATCAGCTGGGACTTCCCTGGATTCCTAAGACCACTCAAAAATCATCAAGAGAGGTTTTGTGATGAAATCATGTCTTAGTTTAAGACAAAAATGTCCATTAAGGAGCAGGTGGGGACCAGAAAAAGAAGAGCCACCCTCCTCCCTCCACATTAACTACAACTTTGAAATTAGGAGGCTTCAGGTGAAAGGTGTAGAAAAGGAAAATAACAACTTTTTGTTAATAAACCTGAATAAAAAACAATGGTGCAACCAGAACTTTCAAAAGAAACAAAACAAAGTCCTAATTCCCCAGGCAAAGGGGAACGGGGCCAAAAAAAAAAAAAAAAAAAAAAAAAGAGGATGGCTACTGCTCTGTCTGTCAGTGGACAGCCAGCCCTCCAGACAAGGGGGCTTCTGAGGCATGGTGCTGGCTGGTTACAAAAAAGCAACCTCCCCTCACTCCTGTTCTGCTTTGCATGTGGTTCCATGCCTTTCCCCTTCCCCCTCCCAAAAAAATGGATGGGGGGAGGAGGGTTATTGATATTGGGAAAAAATTCCAACGTTTCTTTTCAAACCTATAACACATCAGCAGCTCTTTGAGGGCTCTGAGATGAATCCCATCAGGCCTCATCGATTTCTAGGGATCCAGCTGGAGCAGCGGATCCTCCAGCTGGTCAAGCATGGTCCTCCAGCTCAGGGCACTGAGACGCTCTTGGTCCATCATCCACGGGTAAGACAGAGGCAAAGAAAGCATTAAACATCTCTGCCTTGTCTCTGTATGAGGTGACCATCCTCATCCTGTAACAGGCAAATGATATTTCTATACTGCCTCTTGACATTTATTTATTTGAAAAAACTCTTGATCGTCCCCTACATTTCTGGCCAGCTACAACTCCAGTTGGGCTTTGGCCACAAGCAGCATCTCTGAATTCTTCCTATGTCTCTCTAGACCTTGCTTCTGCTTGGCATACAGCTTCCTTTTTTTGCCTTATCCCTGAGAGAAGATTCCTGTTCAGACAAGCCGTACTTCTGCTTCGCCTGTTTGATTTATAACATTTAGGAATTGCCTGCTCCTGTGTCCTTTGGAGGTGATGTTTGAAAAGTGACCACCACTGATGGACCCCAGCACCTTCAAATAACTACTGGATAGTTTTCCAGTAGTGTCCCTTACATGAGCCCCTGGGAGAGAGCAGAGTTCCCTGTGAGTTGGGTCTGGTCTGCAAATCAGGTCCTCTGTTCCCCTTAGTGGGGAGGCTGCTATTACAAGTATCCTTCTTTTCCTCTTAACAGAGGAAGTTGTGATGTGGGGTGCAGGTGGTGTTGCTTTAGGAGGCCCCTCTATCCCAGAAGGACCTTTGCTCACCTCATCAGTTGTTTGGCCTTCAGCGTGCTAGAGCATCATATCTGTTGTAGAAGGCACACATCCTACCTTTCAAATTTTGGGAAGGAGGAGGAACCTTTCTCCTGGTACATGCAGTGAATAGTTTCCATCCTTCACCTTTAACAGACCCTTGACTAACATTCCTTTGACTAATTACCCTACAGGGTTCCGAGTCCATCTGCTTCTCCACTACAAATGAGGTTCAAAACTCCCAAGAATCTTTAGGTTGTAGCGTCTCTGAATATAATCAGTCTCTCGCTCGTTTGCTCAAAGCTACAAAGCCTGTTCACTTCCTCCTGTAGCTCCTTCACCTGCTGACACAGCTCTTCAGCTGCAGCACACCTTCTGCAAAATAACTGTTTGTCTGCCTCAGCCTCACTAAGAGGCATCAGGCACTCCTGGCACCTGTGACCTGAAGGGCTGCACCTGCCTCAGCAGGTCTGGCTGGCTGGAGAGCTCTGACACAGCAGGTTCAGTGACTCCTGCAGCTACAGGGCACTGAGCTCAACACCATAAGTGAGGAAGCTAAAACACTTATGCTAGTAAGACTTTGGCTTTCTGACTCTTGGGCTGCCCCTGGGTATTCAAGCTAGACTAAAGTTCATGCATCTCTCTATGTAAAAGAGAAGTGTCTTTCTGACTGCAAGATTTTCTGAAACACTCCTTTTAAACTGTTTAAGTTTTAATACTTCTTCATGTGTTTGTCCATTTCTCATGCATAATTTCCATGTTGCAAGCTGTAAGCAGCTCCTGATCACGTCAGTGTAGTGCACTGCTGTTCTAAGAGAAGGGAGAAAAAGAGTTGAACTGGCTGGACTGAGCAGAACTGGGAGACTCTTAGCAGCCTCAGGAAAAAAAACTGAGCAAAAAAGTTTGCAAAAAACAATCAGGAAAACTACTAAATTTGCTCATTAAAAATTTCCCACCCCACTTGAGTGGAGCGGGAAATTGAGTAGAAAATGGACACAGAGAGGTGTGTCCATTTAATTTACATTAAAGAGAGAGAAGAGGTGTATTCTCTGGATCTTAATCATCCCAGCTCATTCATCTGCTGCTGGACAAGACTTTTCCACTCTCTCTGACACTCTTAGTATTACGGTCAGAGCTCAGACTGATATACTGGCATGTAGATCCTCACATCACATGCAAGTGTCTCATTTTCCAGTTGGTCGTTACAGTAAAGGACAAATTTTCCACCTCCATACTGCAGTGCAGACCCATTGTTTCCAGGTCTTGTATATAAACACCTTAAAACAGAACATTTCAGAAATACTAAAGCTGTTTTTCTAAATAATAGCACAGTAAGCTGCTTCTGCTTTCCAAAATATTTTTGACATTTTTAAAAGCAGTCTACTTTGATGTCTCTAGGATTTTGCTTTATATTCTCTTTTTTGGCCAAAACCGAGTGTTGATTTCTACCCAAATTCAGAAATAATTTTTGCTGCAAGTTGCTATCATGCAAGTGTGGTGTAAAGTGGCTCATTCCTTTCTCACAGTGTTCGCAGACATGTGGCAGTGGTGTCCAGAAGCGAGATACACTTTGTAAGCAGCGCCTGGCAGATGGGAGCTTATTAGAGCTACCAGAGACCTTCTGCTCCATGCCAAGGACAGTTACCCAACAAGCCTGCAAAAATGAGGATTGTCCCAATGAGTGGCTGCTCTCTGACTGGACACAGGTATGCTATTCACACACATGAGTATTGTACAGTTCTTGGAGATGAAGTTCCTAAGTAATTTGGGATAAAGGAGCCAAATGAGGTCAGATGGCACAAAGCATGTTATGCCCAGTTTTGTCCTGTAATCTGTCCTTGTTGAAGTTGTTATTGCTAGCTCCAGGATCCTCTGTGGTGATTGCCTCCACAGATGTGCTTTAGCTATCCAACCATACTATTAAGACCTCCCTTCTGGTGTAAAAAGAAGCCATACTCAAAAGAATAAATCCCTGTCTCTGTCCATGCTTATGCTTCTGTTCATCCAAGGCATCAGTGAAGAGTAATCTTTATTACACCAGGCTAAATGCATTTTGTTCCCAATGCCTTCAGTTTAGGAATGGCAAAACAAACTCACTTTGCTGAAGTCTGTTGTACCCCCAGGCTCCATTTCAGGCCCCATATAGTTTAAGAATATTTCTCTTTATATTTATGGCAGTATAACTAAAAATATAATTTGACTTCATAAAACCAGTAAGCATGAAAATCATTCCTCATCTTGCAGTCTCTACCACCACTCTTCTAGTTCTCTTTCACAAAAGGTCTTAATTGTAAGAGAAATGCCAGACACTTCACAGAGGTGTCCCACCTGCTCTCTTCTTATGGTGATCTGTCTTGACATTTTACTCAAATTACTGAATGTTCTCATAAAGTCTTCTGCTAGGAGATGTGTAGCCATTCTGGCAGTGAAGATGCTAATTACAGGGCTTTACTCATTTTCCAACCCTTTTTACAGGCTGCTACCTGGGTCTCAGTGCAAAGGCACTGTGGCATTCTCACTTTTTTCGATGCTAAATACATAAATATGGAATATAATAGGCATGGTGAAGTCCATTGAACAATGGCCACCTGTGTATCAAGTACCGTGGTCTGGTATTAGAGGCTTTATACTTTTCTGTGTAAACCATGTGTGGTAGGTACTAGGCTGAGGTCGTTTATTGATAACTGAAACACTCAACTCTTTATTATTTCTAACAGATTTGCAGCAGCAAAGCTCAAAGATAAAGCTTAGGCTAGATTTTAGCAGATGAGAATTTAACTGTGAACTGCAACTCAATGGGTCTGCACTTTGGTACAAGATGGTGTTTTTCCAGCCAGCAAGACAGAGAAAGGTAGAAACAAAGTGCAAAGACTGGCTTTGAGATGTAGCAGAGTACCATTAAAACAAGGGACACCATCTGACAGAAAAAATTGCTAAAGGAAGCATGTGAAGAATCAAGGCCTTACAGGACAGAAAGTAGCTGATATTTCATCTCCCTACTGTGTCTGTGCTGTTTTTAGCTGCATGATCAGATGCTGCTCTGCTTTATTCGACTGCAGTATTTTGAACACTGTAGCTGCTCTGTGCTATGGTATGAGTATGCAGTGTGGATATGGGAGATGAGGGGGCTGTGTGTTACAAGAAGCACTCTTTTCCTTTTTTCTAATGTTTCTCATTCCATTCCTAGTGTTCAGTGAGCTGTGGAGAAGGCACACAGAGTCGAAATGCCATTTGCAGAAAGATGCTGAAACCCGGGGAATTTGTTATCATCAATTCCTCACTCTGCCTGCCTTTGCCATTCTCATCCTTGATCAGGCCCTGTGCACTAGGCCCCTGTGCAAGTAAGTGGAAAAGATGCTTGGCAGTGTCAGTCCTTCACTAAGAAATCCATGTTATTACCTGCTCCATGACCTTCTTTTCCACTAGTGCTGGTCTTCTGGAGTAGGTTTTTCTGTCTGTGAACAAGGCAAACCAAAAAATTCTACTATTAGAGCTGGATGTGAATAAATGTGTTGGAAAGGAAATACCAGTTTCTGGCAGAACTGACTCAAAATTCTGACCCAAATCTAGATGTAAATCTCACAGCTGGACTGTAGAGCCTCAGAGATACAGCACAGCATTCTGAGGGCACGTGCAAATAAACTCTGCTAGAACAGCTGCAAGGAAAGTGGCTGGATTTTGCTATATATCATTTAAAAACATATTATTTCATTATGTCACTCAGAATCCTCTATGACCTGGGGTTTCTAATGAACCATACCACACAAGTTAGATGTATTTTGTGTTGGTATTTTGTGAATCTGTTGTTGCCCTTCATAAGACCGGCAGTCCCCCTATATACTCTTCCCTAGTTTGCAGTAAGCCACCTGGATACATGAAAGTTAGCGTAGTTTCAACTTGACTCCAAAACTGCTAAATGTTGCGTATGTTGGGAGAAAAGATCTGTCATTTAGAGCCAATGCTTGGACCAAATGTTGTGTGGTATTTACTAAAAATTTACCTATGCAGATTTATTTAGTGCTTCATAATAAAGATCTCTTATGTAGAGATCTGGAACCTGGAAGGACACACTGAACTAGTGCACTTTAAAAACATTTACCATGTTTTTAAGCCTAGTCCAGAGAGTTTTGTTCTGTTCACCACTACTCCTTGAGGCAGCAAGACCTTCAGTCTTTCTTAGCGTCGTGAGCTGTAAGATCATGTTACCTTTGAAGGTTTGGACAGTAAACACTTGTCTATTCAGTGCAGTTATTAAGCAACAGTCTTTATTTAAGTACTTGAACAACAACAATTACATCTCCACTCAAGCTTTCTCCCTCCCCTAAAGCTTTTGTCTCTGGCTCTTTGGTTTCTGCATATACTCTGGGCAGGACTCCTTTTGTGTTCCTAAAGTGTGCCTTATTATTCCTCTTAGTTTGATTGATCTAATGTAATGTCCAGCAGCTGGTGGCCAGTTTTTCCCATTAGTGTCTAATGGTTCAAATGCTGCCAGCACCAATGTAAACTGCTTGTTTCATTTAATGGTATCACATACTAATAACATTAATGATATTTCAGGGCACAACAGGCCAGCTCATAATCAAAGCCCCCATATTATGGCTGTGAAGAAAGTTTACATCCAGACAAGAAAGCAGAAGAAACTACACTTTATTGTAGGTGGGTATGCCTACCTACTACCCAAAACTTCTGTTGTTCTCCGATGCCCTACAAGGAGGTTCAGAAAATCAATGATCACTTGGGAGAAGGATGGCAAGAGGCTCATCAGCTCAGCTCATGTCACCATTGCACCCTATGGGTACATGAAAATCCATCACTTGAAGCTTCTGGATGCTGGGATATACACCTGCACAGCAGGGCCAGCCCGGGAGAATTTCATAATTAAACTAATTGGAAGCAACAAGAGGATAATTGCTGGTCAGACAACTGGTATTAAGGAGGAAGAGGCCATGAGAAAGGCCAGTTTAAATGAAGCCTTGAGAACACAGGAGAAACATCTCAATGGGATTTTCTTCAATAGTAGCAACTCTGAAAAGCAAGGGCGCCTTGCTAACCCCAGCAGATGGTATGACAGTATTGTCTCAAGGCTGCTACAGCACAGAGGCTGGCCAGGGGAAAATCTGGAGGCCTGGGAAGCCCAGGAGTCCATGGAGAGAAATGCATCCTCAGAAGAGGACCAGAGTCGGGAGCATAGCCTGCCATTTACTGTAATTACAGAGCAGAAACGCTTGGATGACATCATAAGGAACTTGTCTCAACAGCCAGAGGAGCTTAAGGATATGTACACTGAGCAGCTTGTTGTGCAGCTGGCTCACGAGGTTTTCAAGAGCCACTTGGAGCACCAGGAATTTGCCCTCAAAGCATCAAGGTGGAAAGTTGATTCAGCCCCAGTGGAGTACCCTTTCCACAGGCACGTTTCTGGATTTACCAGCTCCCTGAGGACATCATCTGCTGAAGTGTTTCCTCCCAGTTCTGTAGGCCTGGCTAATGGCTTGCGCAGACCCCATCAAAAGCCTGCCATTCTGCGGAAGATTTCAGCAGCACAACAGCTTTCTGCTTCAGAGGTTGTTACTCACCTGGGACAGACAGTGGTTCTAGCAAGTGGCACACTCAGCGTGCTGCTTCACTGCGAAGCAGTGGGAAATCCAAAGCCCACCATCAGCTGGGCTAAGAACGGAGAGGAGGTGAAATACAGTGATAGGTAAAACAAAACACATTATTTAACTTCTAAGAAAATAGTTGATATTTTGACTCTTTGGTTTCCATGTTTTACTGCCTGTCAGTCCCATGGACAAAACCATATTTTGCTGTAGTCTGACTTGATAGCAGAAAGAAGGGAAAATGCATGTGAAGTGGTAAACAGGGCACTGTAACTCTTCAGGAAGGTGTGGATACTGGGTCAGACTGGTGTGGCAAACAGGAACTTCTGACTGAGTTAGCCAAAAGAAGGAATTGTAAAGTATTAAAACAGGTAAGTGCCTCGTACAGTCAACAGAGCCCTCCATGTCTGGAGACTGGGAGCCTTGTTTTATTTTTCCATCTAAAGGTGGAGATTTTTGCTATGAAGATTGGTATTCATACGAAATACCAATATGAAAGATATTCGTTGAATATGAAAGATACAAAAATTGGTTGATGCTTATTACTAATATCCTCTGTTGGATATACAAATTGCATTTGTCACAGTGCTCCATGGTAGCAGAAGACAGA